CTTTGGGAAATGAGCGGGAAAACAGGCCACGTGGTTGTTACGTCTCCATACCAAATTAGGTAAATAACCAATTTTGCGCTAAATAACCAATTTTCCATGATTTTGGTTATTTAGCAAATAACCAATTTTCAGTTTTGGTTATTTACAAATAACCAATTTCCGGTTTTGGTTATTTAGCACATAACCAATTTTCAGTTTTGGTTATTTAGCAAATAACCAATTTTCAGTTGTGGTTATTTACAAATAACCAATTTTCAGTTTTGGTTATTTAGCAATTAACCACATTCATGTTTTGGTTATTTATAAATAACCAATGTCTCGTTTTGGTTATTTATAAATAACCAAACTGCAATGTGGTTATTTACTTATAACCATACTTGTTTTGGTTATATACAAATAACCACTCTAAATGATAAAAATACATTTGGCGCCCCGTAGATGGTTGCCTCAAAATAATCTTCCATGTAATTTTGCAGTGTAAAGCTCTATTTTATCTCTCACAGCCTCTGGACAAAGATATTTTCCGGTCTCCGTTCTTCGAACAAGTGAAAGTAGATTGAACCAAGAGAAATTATCACTTTTCAAAGGATAATAAGGTGGGCTACTTGATTGGTTGTTGCCCATCTGGACTTTGCCCTGTGCTTGCGAAATAAAATGTAGGTTGTTTACAGGAAATTGACACGCAATGGGGTAAAGTCCAGGTTAACTAAAAGCGAATTTTAATGGTAGAAAACGTCTAAGCACGTGAGAGTTGCGTGGAAAATTAAGCGACCGTACCATTCTGTCTCTTGAGAAATATTTTTCATTGAGGTAGATTTATGTCATAAAATTTACGTCGTTTACTGGAAAATGGCATTTCATCTAAGAAAGTCTAATCTATACTGGCGAGTAAAAAGTAAATACGCAATTGTAACGGGAAAGTATCGTTTAAACAATATTTAATTCTTGGAGAACTTTTAGAAGCAAAGAAATGGATAAGTAACAAGGCAGTCGACGCAGAAAGTAAATGTAACTTGGTGGTCGTTTCAACCGCTGCTAAAAGAGCAACCATATGGCAAAAAAAAGATAATCAATCAAATATGATTTATGCAAATGTCTTGCGCAAGTTTTACCAGAGTCAGCAAAACTAGCCTTCAACATTTGGGCCTATACAATATAAAGTAGGATCAACCGCATACATTAAAACATTGCCTGTGGGCACAAAATCAAGAAGGTTATTTACATATATAGTATATCTATATGAAGATTACCTCATGGCTGATGAGCACGTACGATTTTTATTCACGAATTGTGAAGAATCGCAAACGAACGAGCGAGTGAGTTTGTGATTCTTCACAACAAGTGAGTAAAAATCGTACAAGCGAACTAACCATGAAGAAATTTGTTTATTATTTTAGTACTGTGGTAGTACAACTTTTTGCAACTTTAAATCACAGTCAACTGACCACAAAAGACAAAGAAGCAGCGATATCGCTTTTATTTAAACCCAAGCAACGCTGCCAGGACGCCTGAAATACTGCATTCTAATAAGGTTAAAAAGGCTAAAGGAATGTACTTTTAAAGTAATTCATTTCAAGAAAAAATATTACAAACCACATTCAAAGAAATTAGGACTTACGTTTGACAACTGAAGCCAGGGTTTCCGGCTGAAAATATTAACTCGCACTGAAGCTTTCAAACTAGCAAAGCGTTTTCTAGTTGAATCGGAATCGAGTACCGTTTAGTCTTTTGTACCTTTTTGTGGACTTTATCTCAGTTTCTGGAATGGCCAAGGTCGGTGATTGATTAAGGCTGCTGATGGAGATGTTGAATTGACCAACATCGAATAACAGCACCGGTAAAGAGCAACATTGCTCGCTGGCCGTGTTGATAATCTGCGACCGAACTCGCTGAATGAACTGTGGTCGAGGGATATTCAGAACCTTGAGATCAATTTGACTTTTCGTTTCTTGGTCCTCGATAAATTGTTCCACTGAATTAACACCTGCAAACCTTGAAGCCATGATTCTGAACAAGTCGGAAACGTTGCAAACATTCACTCTCAATTACTTCGCATAGCCGCCCCGAAAGGCGGTAAACACCGATACGATTTTTTTCACTGGTGAAAAAATCGTATCGGGCTTCTGATTGACCACACGATATTTTTCATTAGTGAAAAAAACCGTATGACCTTTTGGATTGCTTCTCATCAAAGAGAGACGATTTTTCACTGAATAAATCTCAGTACTTATATAATAGTCTTGGACTTAACAAAGAGCCCTGTGGTGCACCATATTCAATAGTAAAGAAATAAATGCCATTTAGCTCCATAAACTGTCGTCAATTGGTAAGATATTTCATCAGCCAAGAATGAAGATTACCAGAGATGCCAACTGCATGGAGTTTTATTGACAAAAAATTGTTTGACAGCACATCGTATATATAGCGCCAGGTTACACTAGGTCGACTCGGAGTCACCACGCGAACGGACTAAACTGTACCAAGTATACTGCGATGTTCAGCCACAAACGTAAAAAGAATTTGTGCATGAGCAGTGAGCTATTCTGCCGTCGATGCGGATCATTAAAGAGACCCGAACAGTGAAATGTGTTGCAGAGTTCGTCAGATGAGGGGTCTGCAATTGAACATTACTTTGCAAAAAGATTTCGTTATGATATAATTGTTCAGTTTTTAGAAAATACCACGGTATTTCTTTGAACTTAAGGACTCTAAAAAGAAGGTTGCGTGAGTAGGGGTTGAGAAAGAGAAATGAAGTCCATTCAGAGTACGAAGTTCGGGAAATAATTAAACGGCTTCCGTACTATGGTTTCATCAGAATTTACAAAAAAAACTTAACACCCAGGCAGGAATTCAAATGGAGCTGCTTCAAATTATTTTTAAGAATTCCGCGTCTTCTGTCAGCCTCTGCATTGCGATTGAAAATTATTGATTTCGATTTGCTGCGAAAACCACAAAGTCGAGATTCTTAATTTGTTCACAAATCGATTTCTGATTGGTAGAAATGGAATACCTTAGCTAGGACAGCTGGCGCTGTCAAAAGTCGTTGAGTCACGTTTCATATGTGTCTTCCGTGTGAAAAGGGTAAGTGTCGAAGCGTACCAAATCTTCCACTTTCGTTGGTCGACACCACAATCTACGTGAAGCATTCCTTTTTTTTTTCAAATCGAATTTTCAGTGCTTAAGTCCATCTACGACTGTCATTGCCCATACTTCCCTCGAAAAATGCGAGTATTATGTACTTCCGTGCGAGTTTCGTGCAAGCCGTCTCGTGACAATCAGACATCTTTTTTAGACTTCAAGCTAGGACCCTTGTCTAACTTATCTTTTTCCACTTATAGCACAGTTCCAGACAGCCATTCGCCCCGACATAAAAAAGTCAACGTATGAAAGATACACGAGGTGTAATCCCGCCACGCCAAAAGATCGGGTTCTTTATCTGGAACGTGTCCGTCGCTTCTTTAAGTTGTAAACTAATCTCCGCTTCTAAAGGTAGGTTTTTCTCAGTTTATGTAACCATTTCTCTTTCATCTTATACTTTTAATCATCCTTGGGGAATTTCCTTTCTTTTCATGGATCATTGTAAGGTTTTTTTTTTAAACATCCTCTTTACAATGTCATATTCCTTGTAAACCAGTCTGTACGTAATTAGCCTAAGAAAATAGTTTACGGTATTTGAAGGAACACTTGATTAATGTAGTTGTTGTGTGTTGTAAAAGCAAAACGCGATCTTTCTTTTTTATGCACTGGTGGTGAGTCGCAACCTTTGGAAGGAATAGTATAGCCAGGCAGTGTACAGCGGGAATCCGCAATGTAATTCAAAATGGCGGATGATCACCGAGAGAATGTCCAGGAAGCCGACTCTTCAAATTCAATCGTCGGAGCAATCAAAAGGGACAGTGAGTGAAGTTTAAATTGAAGGTTTTCGTATACTTGGACTTCGTCTTTAAAAAGCTAGATTTTCTCTAATGCTTTAAAACCGTAGCCGCGATAGAAATCAGGTCTTCGGAGAGGCGAGTGTCTAGCCTACATAAAGTTACACTTGAACAAGTAACAATACTTTCTAATTTTTCGCTGTCTCACCTGACGATGTCAATGATTAATGTTATACCTAAACCATAAAACAAGTCACCAAGCAATATTTAGGACAAAAACAGCCTTTATTACCACAAGATTACTAATTAATATTTTCACAAATACACAACTCTCATCACAGGCAGCCCAAGCTCACTACTAGAAAAGCGGACGTGACTCTTACCGTGCTGCGCAACGTTTTATATTTATAAAGGTTTGTATGGGATGTTATCGGCTTGCCTTAAAAGAGAGAAAAAATGTCTTGTTTTGAAATAAAATGGGCTTACCTTATTGCCTTGTTGTTTTCTTTTTTGATTCCTAGCGTCTCAGGCCATTTTGAAGCGTTTTCGGCGAGTGAGCACTATGTTGGTGTTCAACAAAAGTCTTTCTTTCAGTTGAACACCAACATAGCGCTAACTCGCTGAAAACGCTTCAAAATGGCCTGAGACGCTAGGAATCAACAAAGAAAACAACAAGGCAATAAGGTAAGCCCATTTTATTTCAAAACAAGACATTTTTTACTCGCTTTTAAGGCAAACCGATAACATCCCATAGAAACCTTTATAAATATAAAACGTTGCGCAACACGGTAAGAGTCACGTCCGCTTTTCTAGCAGTGAGCTTGGGCTGCCTGTGCTCTCATAAGACAGATATGAGCTTGTACTTAAATAATACTCAAAATTTAAAAAGGCTGTCAAACAGAAAACCTGGACAGATACAAAGACCAGCAAAATAAGTTACTGGGAGAGAAGAAAAATAACCTCTAAGAATGCAAATGATATGCTAACAAGCTGAGCAATAAAGCAACTGATCTTAAGTACCTAGCATGACACCAATGTACTTTTACTTGCAATAGGAAAACTAACTAGCAGGATAAGTTGCTGATTTCATAGTTTTTGTAATAATTAGGCTAGCTTGATAATAATTTTGGTGCAAGACTGTCTCTATTACCAACTCACTATGTTTGTAGTTTAGAAGCACATCACCCAATCATGGGTGATGCTTCCCAATAATTATGTCAAACAATAGCATGTGGTGGAGGCTTCAGCCTTGAAGGTACAAAAAGATGGACTCTTTTATGGGGACATACGATTTGTGCTAGGGGAAGACAACAGCAAACAATGATGGCTCATTTAATTTTTTTTTTTTATTATTATTATTTTGGCTTACATTGTGACTCTCTGGCCTACCCTGCAAAATTTCCATCTGTTGGAAGGGGCAGAAGTGCTTATTTTTGGACTGTTGAATTCAAGATTTTGCAACAGTCATTACTTGAGCATGTTCTCGAAGTTCATCTGAAGGCTAGGTACAATTTGAATGAAAGTGACATCAAAGTCTCAATATAGAAAACTTACACTGAATTGTCATAGGGTAATAATGGATATGTTTCTGTTGAGTGCAGTTTTATATGACTTGTATATGTTTGCAGTTCAATACATGTATGTACTGTTCAATTGATATACACATGCAATTAAGGTATTACAAAAGGAAAATAATCATTTTTCTTCAATTTTCTGAAAATTTAATATCCAATTAAAAAAAAAGTCTATTAACTTCTGAAAATTTTGTTTTGGTATCTTTTTTTGCTTCATGAGATATAACGTGGAAAGTAATTTGAGCGTAGAATGGAAGGCACAACATTGATGACACTTCATGTCAACTTCTCCTTGTCACCTAATTAACTGATGATTTCAAAACCATAACTGATATTCAATACACAGTGCACTGTTTTTTTCAATTCCAAAATTGCTCATTTGTTGGCAAGTCTACTTACATTAATTCTTTCCAAAAGCTACCGAGGTTGGTTCTGTAATTCAAGTGTTGTTTTTAAGCTGTTATCATGTCTAAAAGAAACAAGTCCCTTCGTTGCTCTGCCAAAGGGAAAATTTATTGGTAGTTTGGGAAGATAGAGGTGTTGTTCATTGATAGTGATAGGGGTTACTACTAGACTGAAGAGAATCAGTGGCCAGAGTCTATTTCTATCAAAGTTTCCACAGGTACTTGTTCACAAAAAATATCACAAACAGTTCATCATCATTCATGCAGCATGGTAATTCAAGAATCATTTGTTGAAAAGCTGTTTTGTGTCTCCAGTGTAGCTCTTCTTCCTCTGTCTGATCGCTTTCCTGCTCTTTTTGGTAGAGTATTTTGGCTTGAGTTCTGATCTTTGAAAAGTTTATTCTCAGCCATCTATTTGGTCAATTTTTGTAAAATCTGGGGATAATATGGGAAATATGATGAACCCCAAAAGGGTGTCTCCAATTTACAATATTTTCCTATTTCTAGAGATGTGGCGCCTTCATTGACAACTTTGCTCAAAAGCACTAAAGTTTAAAAAATGATCAGAAAGTAACAAGGCATTAACATACAAATCCCAGATAGTTCAATATGTGGAGATAACGTTTGGGTAAAAAAAGAAACATGTTGATTGATACGTGTTGTTGTATGGCATCTTGTTGTGAGAGAATAAGCTTCCATTCTGTTCAGTTGCAAAAGTTATAAGATTGAATTCAAAACCCAAAATCAGTGTTTATTAAGCTTTAAGAAAATGTATAGTTTTACAGTGATAGTGCACATTATAAGTTTTCACGCTTTCTCAGTTTGAATGAAAAAGCTAATATTCCATCTGGAATACCTTAAATTTTGGAAGGTTCATTTGATATACTCCAGAATGAGTTTTAGGTATTGCCTAGCTCTACCATTTCAACAGTGGCTTGCATCATCTTGCCAGCTACTTTTGCAAACCAAACACTTAATGCACTTTATCAGGCAGCACTATTTATAAGAGATTGGAGTCAAAGGATTTTCCAAGACAAATAGATGTAGGGATTTATGGTATTAAAAATGTTGTTCTGTTGGTCTATATATGTAAAATTTTAATAGCCTCTCTATGACTTAGTTGGAAGAATATTCAATAATATTATACTTTACTGATGTTGAGGTATTGCCAATAACACGAAGACTTAATGGCTACCTGATGTACTTCCCCTTGGTCACATATTTCAGCAATCTTGAAGTATTTGGATTAATACTTGAGTTCTAGTCAAATCTTATATGGTTTTGGACTTGCTATGAAAAGAATAGTGTAACTACTATATCAATGCTGATCACCCAGCTCCACAGATTTTCCTCCTCCACTCCTTTCTGAGTTCTTAATCACACTTAAATCTTTTGCTGCTTCCACCGTGTCACGCAGTGAAAAGTCTTCATTTATGAAACAAAACCATTCTCAGATTCATCAGGCAGTTCCTCATTAGATGTCCTAGACATTTTGTAAAAGCCCATGAAATGAAGCTAGGAAAGGGAATTTGGACAATTTAAGTGAGAGTTATGGGAAAGGAGACATGAATTAGATGAGTCTTTCACATAATAATGAAGTTCTCTGCTCTCTGATTGCCAACTTAGCTGGAACAAAATTTCTCAGTTGGTGTAAATAAGCACTGGTAAATTTTTCAAAGACTGCAAATTGCACTTGCTCATAATTTTGTTGTGTTTGAAACATTTACTTGGGCTTATTTATGCCAAATTGCACTCAAAATCCTGTTCTTACCCATACAAATTAGTTGAAGGTTGTAATCATTTATCTTTATGGTAGTTAAGCACTGCACAAATTGTTGTTCAAATGTTTTGTGGCCTAGGATTAATTCACTGACACTCACCTCTCAGACGAATCAATTACTATTACACCAGCAATTTGTACCAGAGAAAACATCTTTTTTGAAATTAAATTTTGATTCAAATTCCTTCAATGAGAACTTCTCTTGCTGTCCATGCTGATTGCCTTGAGGACTGAGTTCAAAGAGCTTGTGCTGAAAGGTGGTGCTTTGGCCCTCAATTTGTCTTGTAAATATCCTCCATTTTGAATTTTTATGCAGATTACGGCAGCAAACTTGTTCCATGTTGCCTCAATTTCCTGTTGCCAGTTCCTTCTTCCAAGTTTAAGTCACACCCAGGGCAAAAACATTGCCATGATAACTGTGGTGCCTCATTTTTCGAATGAAAGTAAGATAAGATGACTGATGCTGTCATTAGAAAAATGTTAGACCACAATAGATGACTGATGCTATTTGTTGACACTTCAGAGATACTCTTGTGGTGTCTAAGGATAGTTATGTCACTGAACTTTACTGTTGTCTGTGATGCATAAATTGCAGGGAAGGGCATTGTGGGTTTGAAATTGTCAAATTCAATCCACACCTTGTACCAGGGTTTTGGTGGGAAGGGGGTTTGTTAGTTCAATAGATCAGTACATTTTGGGGATTTACATCTTGGCATTTGTTTGTATTTCATCAGTCACTTTCTGCCCCCTACCAGAAATGCATATTTGATGGCTTAACCCTATAACTCCTGAGATCTGATTATAAATTCTCCCCTTTTGCTGCAACACATTTCCTTCAGTTGTAAATTAGTTACAAGAATTTGTTGTTAGATCAAGATAACTTCAGCCTGATAAGTTTGATTATTCTCATAACCTGTTTCCTGGATTATGTATGGATATGGTAGGGAGAAGTTATTTGTCAATCGCTTTTGGAGGTTAAAGGGTTACAATTTATGTAATGCACATTCTGGGCAATCTAAAGACCCTGCTAACTTGATAGCAGAGTGAAACAAACACATCCAAAACATGGCATCTGACGGGAGAGCCCCTCTTTTTTGCAGATTTAAGGACTTAAAAATGTCAGAAGCACTACCTCATGTAAGAAGTGATCATGAAAAAGTGATGCAAAGTCCATCTGTTTCTTGTGAGTTATCCATCCTAAGGTCACCTGAGAAGTTGAACTCCTGGGCAGATCCTTCAGGCTTAGATTTAACAGACACTAAGAGTGATTTTGAACTAGTAAATTTGTGGGCACAAAAGCGGGGTATTTACAAACAGCCTGGATATGAATTCACAAAGGATCCAGATTTAATATTTGAAGGCCTTGTTCGCAGCGCATTTAATCCAGATAGATTTCTTTGCAAGCTCACACTTTGGTACTACACAGGCCATGCACTGGACAAGGAAAAAGCAAGGAAACTTTATTACTCATCAACTCCTTGCCTTGACAAGTTTGAAAAGGACTATGTTATGCTGGACTTTTTCCTTCAGAGAGATGAATGTTTAAAGAAATGCAATGGGGGAAAAGTAAAGGGGGGAGAGCTTTTTCTACATAGGTTTGGGTTTTGTGATCTATATGGCCCTTTAAGGTCTTGGATTGCAGCTTGCAAGAAAAAGCAAACCCTTTCACAGTCATGTCCCCTAATGTGCAAGCCCTCACTGTGTAACAATCAGGACCTTGTCATCATTTTAGATAGCTGCCATAGTGGAGAGTTTGCTAGGCAGTTACACAATTTTCTTGAAGTTATGAAAGGGATAGACCCAACACTGATGAATGGAAAAACCATCACCATACAAGCAGCCTGTGGTCCAGATGAACGTACACTTGGTGGGTATTTCACACCCCTCTTTACCCACCTGAACGATCCACAGAATGAGGAGCTAATGGAAACATTGAAGAAGGAGTGGGGCAGCATGAAAGAAGAAGACAAGAGTAAATACAGTTTACCTGACCTGCCATCTCCAATGGTAGTTACCACATTGCCTCAGCCTGAAGGTGTAACAATGGAAATGAACATTGAGAATTTCAAACTGACACTCTTTCCAAACCCTGGATTCTTCAAGTTCTGTCTAATCAAAGTCTACCAACATGAGGATTTGAAGTTATTCGAGGGAAAGGATAGAGTTTTAGATAAAACTTCTGCCAAAAACTTCATGGATTCTTCCCCATTTACCGTTCTTGACTACAAGCTGAAGACCATGTCAACTGGCCCTTATAAAGGAAATCCCTTTGGTCTCTTTCTGCTGCAAGACCCGAAGGATAAAAACAAGGCCATCTGTGCCCACATTCACTTCGCAAAAGACAACACTCAAAGGTGTACAAGAATAAATCTTGTCCACCTCAAGAAACCACCCATTGGAATTATGTACTGCCTGGATGTTGACCGTAGTGATATGTTGCAGCATGCTAGTGCTGAGGATAAATACAAGGTAGTGGTCGACCTAGATAGAAATGCCGAAAACTTGGTATGAGCCTGTCGTGATTATGTAACAAAACAAAATCGCACATTGTGGTATGATGTTAAGCAGTGGAACATGAACAAGAGTATACATGGATTATTTAGGTTGAAAAGAGAACGTACAGTTAAGGAAGACTTTTATTTGAAGGGCATTGAAGAATTTAATCTCCCGATTGTTTCATAAAGTAAGAACTTGTTTGTTTATTGGGAGTTTGTTATTATGTTTGTTGCTTATAACTTTACCAGGGCTGTGGCAGGGCCTGGTGGCCCCTGGCACCTTACTTTTGCTCTTGGGAAACTAAGGAATCTTAGTTTTTTCATAAAAAGCATATGCTGGGTACCCTGGATTTCAGCTTTAGAGCAGGGGGCTCCCTTCAATTTTTCCTAGAGCCCACCCTTAGATATACATATACATATATATATATATATATACACACATATATAATGTGTGGTAGTCGGAAAAAAACAATATGCATATTCTCCATACTGTTCCCTAGACATTTCATAGTGTACTGACAGGGAGAATTTGTTTCACCCGCCTAGCTGCCACAGACAACCTTGTATAGACCAAGATTAAAACCTCTACTTGATAAATTTTAGTGTTCTCATTACCTGTGTGCTGGATAATGTATTGATAATGCAGGAAGAAGTTACATGTTACTCACCTCTGAGAGTTAAATTGATTTGAATGGAGGTCTGATATAAATGCCGAACTTATAGTAAATATAAGATGAGATGAAGGTACATAAATATCTTGCATTAAAATGCAATTTAGGGATCAATACAGAATTAGAATGCTTAAAGGTAACAGAAAAGGATGAAATTACTGTATTTTAACGTATTAAATGAGAAAGCTGTATTTTAGTACTTTAAGAATAGATCAAAATGCTTTATTTGATAATGGTAATAATTAGAATGCTGTACATGATTTTACATTTTGAATACAATGCTGTAACAAGAAATGTTGATTATAATGCTGTGTTGAACTGTAGTTGGTGTGATTGAAGTAATTCTCCCCTCCATTCTAAACACCTCAAAACTGAACGGCTGATAAACTGAATCCCATATTTTGTAATTTAAGTAGTCCGTCACGGTGCAACTGAGAAAAAGTGATAAGAGGGTTAGGTGCTATAGCCTTTTCCCTTACTTGGGGATGGGGCTCCACCCCCAAATAAGGGAAACGGTCATGGGAAGGAGGTTGTCACGCCTACTTTATGGTACAGAGCTCTTTGTTTAAATTTTGTTTTTTAAGAAAGGGTTGCAAAGCAATAAAATACATTCAAAAGGGTTTTTTTCAAACTTTTCTAATATTCTATTATAACAACATGAAACAAAATAACCCTTACCCTTTCAATATCAACCTGCAGACCTTTGAGTCATTAGCATTCGATGTTGGTGTTGCCCAGCAGTTTTAGAGAAGCACGGACAAGCCTGACGCATTGGATTTCNGAGCAAAGAGTTTCCAGCAATCTGATTGGTCGAGCGGTTCCTTATATGACGTTATATAAACCGCTCCACGCAGTTTATATAAAATGTTAAAATAAAATGTTAATAATTGTTACTAAAATGTTATGATTTTAGAAATTTCTCTGTTGTTCAGCTCTGAAATTATACTAAAACAATTATTCGCCTCAGGTTTGGCGAATATTGTCGAATAATCCCTCGACGATATTCGACGATATTCACCTCGCCTTCGGCGAATAATTGTTAAATATAACGTGTGATAGGCATGTATGTATATATAATTATAACAAACTGGTTCAAGACTTCAGAGGTAGTTCATCGTTTTTTACGACAACTCTGTTTCGTATGGTCAAAAATATGACCACACTCATCAGGTAATTTCATCATTGAAAATTTAATGTAGTTGTTTTGATTTATTCATGAGTGTCAACATAAGCAAAATTTTCATGGGAATTGAAACGGTTTCTTTGTTACGTTAAGCACAATTTTCGCACCTTACCTTTGAAGAGTGTCATTCCAAACTTTGTGGCGTGTTTGGTATTCCTTGCAATGGCATTTTCTTTCATTAAATTAATTTCCTTTTCAGACACATCGACAAAGCGCATGGCGGCCATTTTGAAAATTTTTCTTCCCGCTATAATCACCTCGCTGGAGGTAATTATAGCGGAATATGACGCCATTCTCGGCCAATAAGAGCGCGAGAATTTCTATAATCACCTGAGTAATTTTACTAAACAGGTACATTTCATTGCTGGTTTGAAGTTTACTTGCTGGTATATCATTTTCTTTTTATATATTGGGTGTGTAGATATACTGTTTTGGTCTTCTGGGCCTCATCAGTGCAGTGCTGATTATAATAATAATAATAATAATAATAATAATAATAATAATAGCATATTTATGCAGGATGACCAATTCAGTTTTAAAAAAACTGCTATCAACACGGGTCCTGCGGGGGAAAAAAAAAAGTGTTTAAAAATCACAGAAGCCACATACACAATCTAAGAACCTATATATGAAAAGAGATATGAAGACTAGAACTAGATTTATAGATAATCATTAAATATATCCGCCCCTTTATTTAAAAAAATGCTCTTTTGGTTGATTCTAATTTAACCCTGTCAATAACTAATCTGTCCTTATTCCTAATATTATAGTCATGTCATTTAGATTGAAAATATTTAGTAAGATAACTTGGAGCCAGTCCCTGAAGGCACTTTTCAACCAGATTAATGATGTGGATTTCTCTTCTTTTGACAAGAGTTTCCCAACCAAGGCTTGTAAACATCTGTTTGGCGGATACATCTATATTTCATTGTTGGTTTGAAGTTTATTTGCTGGTGAACCATTTTCTTTTTATATATTGGTTGAAATTATCTGCCTGAAAAATTACTTTTCATCAGTTAAATAATTACCCTAAAAGTGCTAACCCACCTCAAGGAAATATTCAACAAAGAACTCTTTCATCATTTATTTTTAGTTATTCTTGAACTGTTTCCATATTAATATTGTGAGGAGGAATTAGATTTCAGTCACTCTCAATGGTTAAAGGTTTAGGTTGACTCTGTCCTCTGAGTTTCCTTTCAATTTATATTGGCATAATTTTAGAGAGAGTTCATGCAGTAAAATGCTATTAGTATCTTTCTCTTAACCCTTTCCACCCTAACATCAGTATGCATATTCTCCATACTGTTCCCTAGACATTTCATAGTGTACTGACAGGGAGAATTTGTTTCACCCGCCTAGCTGCCACAGACAACCTTGTATAGACCAAGATTAAAACCTCTACTTGATAAATTTTAGTGTTCTCATTACCTGTGTGCTGGATAATGTATTGATAATGCAGGAAGAAGTTACATGTTACTCACCTCTGAGAGTTAAATTGATTTGAATGGAGGTCTGATATAAATGCCGAACTTATAGTAAATATAAGATGAGATGAAGGTACATAAATATCTTGCATTAAAATGCAATTTAGGGATCAATACAGAATTAGAATGCTTAATAGTAACAGAAAAGGAAAAAAGGATGAAATTACTGTATTTTAACGTATTAAATGAGAAAGCTGTATTTTAGTACTTTAAGAATAGATCAGAATGCTTTATTTGATAATGGTAATAATTAGAATGCTGTACATAATTATACATTTTGAATACAATGCTGTAACAAGAAATGTTGATTATAATGCTGTGTTGAACTGTAGTTGGTGTGATTGAAGTAATTCTCCCCTCCATTCTAAACACCTCAAAACTGAACGGCTGATAAACTGAATCCCATATTTTGTAATTTAAGTAGTCCGTCACGGTGCAACTGAGAAAAAGTGATAAGAGGGTTAGGTCCTATAGCCTTTTCCCTTCCTTGGGGATGGGGCTCCACCTCCAAATAAGGGAAACGGTCGTGGGAAGGAGGTTGTCACGCCTACTTAATGGTACGGAGCTCTTTGTTGAAATTTTTTTTTTAAGAAAGGGTTGCAATGCAATAAAATACATTCAAAAGGGTTTTTTTCAAACTTTTCTAATATTCTATTATAACAACATGAAACAAAATAACCCTTACCCTTTCAATATCAACCTGCAGACCTTTGAGTCATTAGCATTCGACGTTGGTGTTGCCCAGTAGTTTTAGAGAAGCACGGACAAGCCTGACGCATTGGATTTCACTCTCACTTGCAGATAAACACTTTCAGTGACATGNTTTCCTAAGAAAAATGATAATTATCAAGGCCTCAGTTTGTGTTACCCACCTTAGCCTTTGGCTTCAGCAGATAACACAGACTTTGGCCTTGATAATTATCACCATCATCCTCAACCGCATCCAATAATTGTTAAATAAACAGTGTCTCCGAGCATGCAACTTCTGGGTTAATGTCAGTATATGAGATCTCATTGTCCAAGACCTTGCATGGAAATTAAGAACAAAAGAAACTTCAAACACTTTGACCAAGATGTTTTCTCAAGAGACGTCAGTCAAATTCCTTCTCATGTCGCCTACGTCTTGGATGATGTTGACGATGTTGCGTGGGCTTGGGGAAAAATTTTCACGGGTCTTCTTGATGAATATGCTCCTGTGAAGAAAAGGCTGATTAAGCAGGCCTTTATGACCACTGAACTACTTGGTGCTATTCGTCGTCGACACAGATTGAAACAAACATACTATGCAACAAAAGATCTCGCAGACTGGCAAAAGTACAAAGAACAACGAAACAAGACATCATTGAGACGGAAATAATAATAATAATATACGTTAATTAAAGCTCCCCCATAGGGGCTTTTCAGTCACAATGTAGTTTTAACTAAGTGCTAAAAAATCCCCACTGGCAGGAGGTGACCAGTGAGCTATTTACAGAGCGCAGCCGAGGAGTTGAACAAGGGGCAACCGAGAACAAATCCAGTGAGTGGCAGGGTGGAGGATTTCAAGTCCAGCATCCTAACCACTCGGCCACGCCGCCTCCACAAATTGATTTGCAAATACATAAGTAAATGTGACGATGCGAAAGGCGATCCTAGGACTTTTTGGACTGTAATTAAGCCTTTTATTCACAGCAAAAAGAACAGTGGTGACAATACCATAACTCTTAAAGAAGATAATGAACTTATTACTGACAATAATGTCATAGCTACGATGTTTAACGACCATTTTTCTAAAAATTCAAAACGATAGTGCTGATTATGCAATGATGGGAAGTTAGCAGAAGTCTGTCCTGTATTCAAGAAGGATGACCTTACGAACATATGTAACTTTAGACCGGTATCTATATTGATTAATTTAGATAAGATCTTTGAAAAATGTCTCAATCGTCAACTAGTGAAGCACTTTGCAGCAATCACATCACCGTTTCTCTCAGCCTATCGCAGAGGTTACAGCTGTGAGGCAGTGCTTCTCCATCTTATCGAATCATGGAGGCAAGACTTCGACAAACGAAAGACTGTTGGTTCAGTGATGTTGGATTTAAGTAAAGCCTT